AAATACTTCAAATATACGTTGTTGAGGCTTTTTAAAATGTAATCAATATTTTCGATGTAATATGCAATAATATTAATAATATAAATAATAATATGATTCATAATAAAGATAACCTATATGTCTCGAGTTAAGGAAGAAATGGAATAATGATTAAAAAAACCCAATTAGAAGGTGAATTTCTATTGTAGGCACCTACCTATACGTACAGAAAAATAAACAACTGAATAATTAAAAACCGAGGAATTTGCTCGTATAGTAGGTGTGGAGTGTACTTCGCCATTGAGTAGGTCACTGCTGTAATGACTAATGGATGAGTTTAATTTGAATTAAATAATAAATCATTGCCCACGAAAAATGGTTCTGAGCGGTTTGTCGGCCCATATATTTCTGAGCATAGATGAAGGTGTAAAGGTTTCGTCAAAATAAACGATGAACCATAGGTATAGACGATGTAATGTGTAAATTATTTAATATTAATCAAAATATTTTGAAAATTTTACTGTGAATAGTAAAGGAAAATTTTAAGACCCTACGAAAAAATATTTTTTGAATTACAATACGTCAGTTATGATATTTTATAGATATTATTTAGGTATCCAATATGTTGTCGTAACACAATGTTTATACTTTATTTATAATTTTCGATCTGTAATACTTATTGTGAAAGCTAATAAAAAAAAAACACAATGTTTAAAAATTGTATATTTATATTTTTGAGATTTTTAAATTTAGAGAAAAACAACTTATATTGGATAAAATCAAAATCGATCAAGTGTTTGAGGGAAATTGTATAAATTTAATGTAAACACAATATTAACTACCTTAAGTTTAATATAAATTAATAATGCATAATATACCTATATATATTTACAATAACGGGAAACTCGTATAAAATATTTATACAATATACACGCGTATAATCAACAAATTGTTTTATCTCTAAATATATTATATAGTTGTTTATAATTTATAAGCATGTGTAAATTTCAAGTAGCTATATACTATATTTAATACAAATACGTAGTGTTTGAAGTATGAGAAATATTTCATGAAATATTTCAAATGAAATATTTCATTTTGAAATATTTCACTAAGTTGTGAAATATTTCACAAAAACGTGAAACATTGAAATTTTTTTTAACACAAATAAAAACACAATTTATTTATTTTTTTAACACAATGTTCAGTGTTCTAAATTCTAATTTCAGAATTCAGTAAGTATACAATATACATGTATAATATTGTATACCTACTTGTATCATTTAAACATTAAAATATTTAAACATTTTGAATACCAATTTAAATGTATAATACCAAAGGTTAGGTATACATACAGGTACCATATAGTGATGAAGGTAATTTATGACAATTATACGTAAATATAAAAATTATTTAAAAATAAAACAAAATATATTAAAATACTGAAATATTTCACATATTTTGAAATATTTCACGAAATATTTCATTTTTTTAAATTTCATGAAATTTTCAAACACTACAAATACGTATTTCAATTGCGTCTTTGATTTTTCGGCTAGGTATCCCATATAATGCATAATTCGTTTTATACTTAGAAAAATAATATATGAGTACAGGTATGAGGTAGGTACTGCACTACTGCAGTTTGCAGATACGGTTCTATAAACGTGGGTAGGTACAGCTTGGTGTATTATAAATAATTATATTATACTGTTTTAAATTTTAAGTGCTCATAAAAACATGAGCTCCCAGATTTTGTCGAAATAATCAATGTATAATAAATAATTTAATAATATCTTATTGTTGATATCATCGTGATTGGTGAAATTAATGTGCGTGTTTCAAATTTCAACGTGTTAAATTTTTTTCAATAACCATGTTTGATATGTGTATTATAAAAAGTAATAGGCATATTACTATTTAGTCATAATATGTTCTATATAATGACATAAATTTTAACGTTACAATTTACAATACTATAGTAACCAAACCACAACCTATATATTTTAATATAGGTAATACCTACCTAGGTATAATTCATATTTGTGTATAACATAACTCGTACCTACTTATTCATTTCGTATTGGATCAATACGAATTCATAATTTAAATAGTTATTATATATTATTACGAAGCCTTTTATCGATTGTTATATACTATTATTAATACTTTTGTTCTTTGTACAACAGTAATACACATAATCATTAATATAAATTAATATATTGCTAGTCTTTAGCTATAAATATAAGATGTTGGACGAATTCAAAAATGAACTCCAATTTGCCAATTAGGCGCGTGGTTTACAAAACCTTTGTTATGATTTGCCACCAAAAGCCATTTTCATAGACTATATTATGCGAGTATATACTATAGAGATTATATTTCTGTGTGCCACCATACATTCAGTGTGAAATGAGAATCATTTTACAAAATACTGTTTACAGCGTAGAACTAAATGAAACGGTTAAAAAAAATCACACACTGAACCATAATAAGATCTTGTATAATACTCCTCGTCCCACCCAGGGGACCGATTCAGAAAAGAAATCGAAAACAGATGCGTACAATCGGTCGAAAACTGTTTGGTATAATGTTCGACCTTTATGACAGTAATAAACATATACATAAAACGTATACACAAACAAGAACCATTTTTGAACAAATCTATAGCTGTCCTATTTTATAAATAAGGGTCCAACATGAGTAATAAATTATTTTCATTTATTTTATTATTAACATATTTTTTAACCTATGGTTTTTTTGAACTAATTCCACAGTTATATATATAACACTATAATATTATATATTATATACGATATTTTATCTGCGTTTTCTGGTCACAGTTTTATTTATTATTTATTTATCATTAAACCGTAGGCCCAAGTTTACAAGTTGTGACTTGCAGTAGTGCCTATACTCTATATGCTATAAATATATCATGTAGATTGTAGACCATGTAGTACAATAATATAGTACCTATATATAATTATATATGTACATTGACCATCTTTTTAGAATTATATTTTCAAAGATTTACAGATTTTCAATCAAGCTAATTACCAAAAAAGAATTCGGAATTCAAATTAGCTTGTCTCTCTTGCACCGAGCCCAACCGAGCTATATAGATTAATTATTCAGATATATTCTATAGTTAGAGAACAAAGGGAATTGAGGAAAGGAGCAACGTTACGAGTAGAGAGACGAGAGTGCTCAGAAGTCAGGAACTCTGAAATTCATAAATTGGAGGAGAAAAGGATGAGCACCAATATTCAATTATCTACTGTACCACCGTTTATTATTGAAGAATGATATTATATATGTTACGAGCAAGTCGTTGACGAGCAAGAAATTCTTCAGCTTATGGAGCACCGGAACATCGGGTATTATTTTAAATGTATTTGGTAAGTTGGTCGATGACACGTTTATTATATAGTATAAATCATAATATTATAATATTATCATTTATCTTCATTGGTAGTATTACAGTTGTTAATGCGTATACTAGACCAATCTATAGTCGTTAATGATCTTAACATTAGCTTATGTACTAATTAATCATTATTGTAAACTAATATTATAATACATTTATTATTTTAGCTGAAGCGATTACCCAAACTGAAGTCTATACAAGCGTAAAGACACAAAAATGTACATGCTATCGGTCAAAGCAGATGTTATTCCTGGTTAAATATTATTAAATTTTTTGAACCGCATGGTCGCATGCATAATATTATGACGAATATGAGCAATATAATGATTAAACAATCGATATTGTGTCTATGCCCCATAGTAATAAAATATTATGGATAATATAGTACCAACATATTACTGTATATTCTGCTTTTTGATATTTAGATTTTGAGCGGAGCAAGGAAGCTAGTGGTTTTACAATGATGTTTATTTATTTATTTATTTTTATATTCTGTATACAACATTTCTACCAGAAGGAGTGCTTCGATTTCAACATATAGTACCTTATATTTTAGAAAATTGGATCAAGATGGTACTTTAAAGAGGTTATTTTAGATTTTCTCAATAGTTATTTAATACCAACCGAAAAACTACTGACAAATTACGAAAAACCGCTAAAAATTGGATTTTAATTTCTAACGCTTTGTTTATTACCATAGAAACGAATAAAAAATAATAATATTATAATATTAATTCAACTTACATGATATAATAATTAATGACAATATAAAATACCTAGACAAACCGTCTCCGCTCAGAATCGTTTTACTTATACAATGATAAACTTAGACCCACTTGTAACCTACTGTACAGTAGAGCGACATCCACTTACCCGATTTTTTATTTTTACTTGTTTTCGTTTTGAAAATAAAAACAAACTATAACTATAATACAATAACATAATATTATATTGAAATTACATAGATATATTATAATAAACAATTATTAATTAATATTATATTATAGGTTTCTTAAAAACGTAGTATAGATAAATTGTTTACGGAAACTCGATAGCTGGTACGGCGGTACGCAACAACACTTGTGTTGAAGGCATATTATAGGTACACAAAAATCGCGAGTAAAATGTCATTCGACGATAACGACTTCTGAGGTTCTCTCTTCATATTATTTTAATAATAGTATAACATACGTTCGCGGGATAATCTATCAACAACTTTCTGTGTAATGTGTATTATGTACTATCTTATGACGCTTATATAATATTATCATTATTATCTTCATTATTAGTACCTACAACTGTGAATATTAAAATGACGAGCCAGAGATTAAAGCTTTATCGCAGTCACGATTTGTTCAACCTGATCGATGTGGTTATAAAAATTGAACGCGTCCCGTGTTTTTTTGCATTCTTCTCGCGGAACCGCCGCCGCCGAAAAGAACGCGCGCAAACTATAAGCTACCAAAGTTTTAGAGTAAACGCCATCAATTATTTGTATCCGCATTTGTATTCATTATATCGTACATAGAGTCTTCGTACATCACTGAATCAGCATTATAATATTCACAACGTTTCACCGCCTTCTTCCAAAATGTTGAACAAAATATCCATTGTGGAACTGAAACTGGTAAGCCAATCACGACGTCGAATTATGCTTAATAGTATTGTGTTAGTGCAGTTTTCCAAAATGTAATTTTGTCAATCTTTGATACGATCGTTATCGCACCTTTTATAGTGCACATTTTTTTTAAGGAAATTTAATCTCTAACATTTTAGCAATAGTTATATTAGATACTGAGGGGAACTATGAATGTATTGATTTTATAATGATGTGTTTTTTTTATTTTTTTTATTTGTGCCTGTGTACACGATAAGTAGTCGAAATAATTCTTCTATTTTCAACTTCAGTATCTTGTTCGATTGGAAAGTGAATACGGTTGGTGCATTGAGGAGGTCAAAATTTAAAATGCCCAGTAATTTTCAAAAGCGCCAAGAAAAACAAAAGAAAAATTAAGGAAAAACGGGAATTTTTACACAAAATCGAATTTGGTTTTCGGTGTAACTTTAAAACAAATGACCGTAGATACATGAAATTTTCACTGGTTGTTTATATTTACATTTTCTATGCACGATAACATTTTCAAAATATTTTGATTTATTATGAACTGTTTAGGGACATTTTCAGTTTGCAATTTTATTAGTTTTTATTTTTATGAATATCAATAAAATTTTAGTTGTTGAGTAAGAATACTTGAAAATTTAATAGAAGGCTAGTAGTATATTGTTTCAAAGGCTAGATGACAAATATTAAAAAATCCTTAGTCACAGTTTTTTTTATAAGCATTTAAAGTTAAAAAAGTGCCGCAGTACAGTAGGTTACAAGTGGGCCACTATACATGGAGAGTATTACATTTGAATCATGATCTATCATGTTAAAAAAACGATTTGGCGGAGACGGTATTCAGTTAGGTATAAGAATATTACTTATCATGTATGACCTAAATAGCCATAATAAATCCAAATTATACCAACATAGGTATTTATGCTATACGTCAACAACAAACCTATACTAGGCCATACTCATAGAATATAATAGTGTACTTTAAAGTTTAAGTACCCAAAAATATACAATCACACAAATAACTAAATATTATTCTAGGTTTTTTTATGTATTTATCCAAATTTGAACTTAAAAAATAAAAAACTGTGTTGTTATTTTTTAGATTTTTGGTAACAGAATGAAGTACTTACGTGGAATCTTGATTTAAATTTTCAATCCTTAGCTATAAAAACTGAACATTTTATAATTTATTAATTACGATGATTGATAATTTTCGAGATTTTGAAAAATTCTCTGAAAAATAATCTTATAAGGAATCTTGTATTACATTTTAAAATCTTAGATTTAAAAGAAAAATTTTTACGAATTCTTAACTCAAGATAATTTGCTAATTTTTGTGATTTTTCCATATTTTGTCAATTTCTGGACTTTAAATGTTTATAAAAAAAAACTGTGACTAAGGATTTTTAATATTTTTTAAATGCCATTGTAATAATATAGTAGGAGCCTTGTATTAAATTCTCAAGCTCTTTTAACCAACAAATAAAATTTTATTGATATTTTTAAAAAAAAACTAAAAAAAAATGGAAAATGAAAATGTGCCTTAACAGTTCAAAATAAATCATAACCTTTTTGAAAATGTTATCGTGTATAGAAAATTCTACTATAAATATTCAGTCAAAATGTCATGTACCTACGGTCATTTGTTTAAGAGTTGCACCAAAAACCAAAATCGATTTTCTCGAAAACCGATTTTGCGTAAAAATTCTCGTTTTTCCTTAGTTTTTCTTTTGTTTTTCATGGTACTTTTGAAAACAAATGGGATTTTTACTTTTGACCCCCCAAAACTAGATTCACTTTCCTATCAGAAAAGCTACTGTTGAAGAAAATATAAGCACTTTTACTGTCCTAAAACGTGATGACAGACACAAAAAAAATTAAAAATAAAAAAATAAAAAAAAACACACACATCATTGTAAAATCAATGCATTAAATTTTTATGAGCGTTTGAATTTAAATTTTTACAACATTGGATATTCACTCGATTTCTCATATAGCGATTTCCTTATTTTGTTGTAATTCAAAAACAAATAACTGTAGATACATGAAAATTTCACTGAATGTTTAAATTAGCATTTTCTATACACCATACAATTTTGAAAATATTTTGACTCTTTTTGAGCTGTTTACGGACATTTTCAGTTTTCAATTTTTTTAGTTTTTTTTCTATGAATATCAATAAAGTTTTATCAGTTGGGCCAAAAAGTGTAAACATTTAATACAAGGCTCCTGATATATTGTTACAATATCAGTTGAAAAATATTAAAAATATATAGGCACAATTTTTTTATAAGCATTTAAAGATCGAATTTTGACAAAATTTATCAAATTTAAAATTGAATAATTATTTTGTAGTTAAAAATGTATGAAATGTTCAACTTTTATATCTAAGGATTGAAAATGTAAAACAAAATTCCATATAAGTAGTTAATTCTGTAACTAAAAATCTAAAAAATACACAAGTACAGTTTATTTTTATAGTCATTTTAAGTTCAAATTTGAACGAAATTACATATTAAAATCAATATTAACATTTTTTTTTTTTTGTTGTAATTTAAAAATATTATTCGGGGATATATGAAACTGAAAAATCAAAAAATCAAAATATTATGGCCTATCCATACAATCTACCATAGTATAAAGAATAAGAAGTATGCTCAATGATAAGACTGTGCATATTTTTTTTTATCACCATTGATATGTATATAATATGTCTTAAACCTAGACTGACACACCGTCTCCGCTCAGAATCGTTTTTCTTATACAATGATATTATATCATTGCATTCAAATTTAATACCATTCATTATACAGTGACTCACTTGTAACCTACTGTACAGCAGAGCACCTTTTTTTTTTATTTGATTGTTGCAAGAAAGGCCAATGTTGCATTTTCATAAAACTGAGATTTCTTGACCGATGTGATTATTTTAAAGGGATACATTTTAAAATTATATTTCCCAACCATCCAAACTATGGTTAGTTTTTGATATTGGCTTTTTTGCACCAAGTCATCGAGTTATATTATTTATTTGTGTATCTTTTTATGCAGTTCTTCACGACCAGTGTAATGTCGTTTCAACAGTTCATCATCGGTGGGGTGTTCGGATTTACAGCCGTCATACTACCGCAGCTCGAACTGTCCGACGCTATCGTCAAAGTCGACTCTGACCAAGCGTCCTGGATAGGTATGTATAAACTCGTGAAAACGCCCCTCATCAATAAAATGTAATTTTTCGACAACTACATCTAAAAACATTCGTGTACCGATCCAATAATACTATTAGTAAGAATTAAATTATCGTTTGTATAGTCACCATATTTTAAAACTGTAGGTAATAGGTCTATATTTGGATACACTCATCATAAGTTATAAATTATAATATAGTATGTACTAAATATTAAGTACTAAATACTTAGGTATACAATATATTAGTATAGTTACATCCATTAATATTGGCCCCTCAGACAAGTTAAAAATAATAATAAAAAAATTCTAAAGGAAATTTCTAATTTTACCCTCCAAAATATAAACAAGAGGTAATTTTCTATCAGAAATTTTCCTATAAAGTTGAAGATTGGAACATTTTTTCTACTATAAAAAGCACCTTTCGGTAGTTCAAAGTGCATGACACAAAAAAATCCAATATGCACATCAATGTAAAAACATACATTCATCTCTGAGTCTAATATTATTTTGAGGGACTAAGCCCACGTAATATTTATGTAATATGTCATGATAGAAGTGACGGATACCGTGAGAATATTATATTATGTATTACGTAGTATGAACGGTTTGGGTTTTTTGCAGCAAGTCTTCCGCTCCTGCTGTGCCCCATCGGTTCGCTGGTGTTCGGATATTTGTCCGACAGGTTCGGCCGGAAGTTATCGCTACAGCTTACGTACGTACCCCTGCTAATCAGCTGGTCACTGCTCAGCAACGCCGAGAGCTTGAATGACATTTATATCGGCAGACTGTTGACCGGACTGGCTACCGGTGAGTGCTTATTACTATAAAGTAATTTAATACAGCCGATAATTATAGTTGTAATGAAATGACTTGACACTTGATGAGCATCTAACGAGATTAGTTGTTTGTGAGTCATAAGTTCATAAGCCTACTGCCTACTCATTACATTTTGGTTGTAAATCGATCGGCTTGCTAATTTATTGCAATTATTACTAATTTAGTGAACGGATATAATAATGTATACATAAATACATAATACTCATAATAGGTACCGCTCAAAACAACAATGAGCTAAACGATTTTTAACGGGGATTCCGTGTAAACACTACATACATATCTATAATATATACTATTATATACCTGAAGGTTTTTACAATTTATTTTCTCATTATTAGGGTTAATATTTGAAACAACTAATTGGTCAATGACGGCTACTTCTTCACCAATCTTAGGTATATTCAACCAGTCTCGTACCTTAACTTTTTTTGGGCAGCTACGGCCATCAAATACTGAATTATGGGCCTCAATAAATTTTTACCTCCATAAAATCATATTTATACAAATTATATACAATGTACATCGTGCATTATAATAAGTTAATAATACTCATACTATTTTTGTATACTTTTTAGAAAATTTGTAGAAATGTTTCTACAGCCGCTTCACCATCATTATAGAAATGTTGGTTTTAAATGAGATTTATTTTCCCACAGATTTAGCTTATAGAACGGCCACCCTCCCCCTATCCTTATTATAAAAAGTTTAATTTCCTCATATTTTTTCTGTCCCACAATAAATAGCAATATTTATAAATTATAGCATGTAATCAGCGTGAATTTACGTAACCTATATTTTGAAGACGTAATGCCCGCAGAAATCAAAATTGCCTGAATAATCTCAATATCTCATACCGGCCCTGTAATTTAGAGTCTGCGCACGTTTAACTCTCTTATAGTCTTATAATAACCTCTATCCCATCCACCTCTGCAGTGCACGTGATGTCCTGTCCGTTCTAGCCATTTACTACTGTATACTTGGGAAATCATGCACACTCACAATCGTTGTGCTTCAGTGCTCATGCAGATACATATATTATTATATTGGTAATAACTAATAGCCAGTGTAGGTAGTAGTTAAATTATTATAAAATATTATGCTCTCGTTTGTCTTCGTTCGAACCTTCTCGATAACTGGTCCTCCTCGAAGGAACAGAAACTGAGAAACATTTCGGATCCCAACAAATATTTCTTCGCCACCTATTGTCGCATTAGGTATATAAATATGAGACCGTGTTTCGTACTCACATGTCAGTGGCATTATGATATTTATTATGTTCATTCAACGAAGATTGTGCGGCGACGGCGGTGTCCCTGTGTATATAATATTATATAATAGCGACCTCCGGATGTGCGGGATTGTGGGTAAACCGCATATATATATAAAGCGATTTTTCGTATACAGACGTGCTGTTGTTCTTTTGGGTCAAACGAGCACGTTTTTCCTTTTCGTGACAAACACGAAATTGTTATATACATTTGTAGGAATATATCGTTTATTCGTAGGTAGTGCACAGCTCTCGGGTCTGTAGAATTATATTATGATTTATTATCAGGCGATAAACAAAATAATATATATCATATCCGATTCGCCTCTTGCCCGTACATCAAAGCAGCGCTAAATATATATATATATTGTCCGGTGACATATACATAGGTATATATCATGTACAGAATAATATAATATATATATATAGTCAAAACACGTCATGTCGGGAGGATACAAATCCTGATTGAGGCACGTATAATACTTAGACGTTGTGTATATGACGACCTCTACATTATTTGTGTGCGATATAATTTATAGGCGTGTACGGATACATCCGTAATACGATGGGTCGGATTATTTTATTATTACATATTATTATTATTATTGTTGTTGGACGACGACTTGTAATACGAAGTCACAATAAGTATTGTTGTACGCAGCCGATAAGTGAGAGATTTGCAGCATTGTATAATATAGTGTATATATACTTTAATACAATAAAATAAAAATAATATATGATAAATATAACGGTATACCCACTATCTATAAATTATAATATATTATTATGAGGAGATTGGATGACACGTCTTGTCACTATTGTTGTATTATATTATATTCGTCTATAATACTAAAATTATTCACAATAATATCATAAAATATACCTATTTAGTAATATTATAGGCTGATGGTCAGTCTTCGCTCAAGATCGTTTTTCGTATGCAATGATTTATATCATTGAATTCAAATTTCAGACCATCCATTACATTGACCCATTTGGGTCACTTGTAACCAACTGTACAGCAGAGTGACATCCACTAACCCGCTTTTTTAATATTCGTTTTGAGGCTACATTTTGGGGCAGTAAAAATGATTTGATGTTTTACATCAGCATCTTTTCTGATACTTGGTACGTCCTATTTGTTACCTACTTTGTGGGGTCAAGAGTAAAAAGTATTACAATTTTTAAAATGCCATTGAGTACAGTCGAATGTATAATATACGTAAAAGTGCCAAGTTATCTATGGTTATCTATTAATTATTATATTAAAATATTTACCTGACCAAAAATACCCAACAAAAAATATTATTCCAATACATTATTGATATATTTGATGCGTGACAAAAACATTGCTAGTAGGTAGTTATTACTTTGCATGGGCCCTCACAGGGGCATGTTCAGTGGAGCCCATTATTCTGTTGAAATAAATATAAATATACAAATACACTCTAATAAGTAAAAAAAGAAAGAATATTCGTGCACTCTACCATCGTCGCGTGGTACCGTCGGGGCGGTATCGTTGCCCGCGCCGGTACAGCTAGCCACCGCCGTCGTCGTCGTCCATCGGCTCCTGGTGTGACCGAAGTAGTCGGGCCCTCGCCGAGTCGTCTTGATGGTCTCGAGTGTCGGCAACCGCGAGCTCGCGACGCTGGCGACTGCGATCTCGTCTTTCTGCGGGTGGCCGGAAAACGTATAGGGTGACTTACCGCCGGGCACCGTACAGTGCTCTTTCACGTACCACTCCCCCGTCGCCGCCGTCTTGTCCTGGTGTCTTCATCTGGGGGGAGGGGGTTTCTATGCGCCTGGCTTCACGACCTCCGGAAACAACACGCCAGAAGCAGTACGCGCTTTCGCGCCTTTCCATGTGGCGGCGCACAACCGCCTTATAGTCCTACCACGTGGATTTTTCCTCGGTAATACTGCACTGATGGTCGTATTGGTCCACGTTCTCTACGTCTAGCATTAGTCGTGTCCCGTTTCTCCCGCAGATGGAATAAAGTCTGCCTTCTGATGTTGTACTGGCACTTGCTGGTCTTCAGCCTACTGTAGTCCGTGTCCCTGCTCGGAGTGCGTCGGGACTACTGCTGCAGCGTCTCCGCTGCCTACCTCGACGGTATCATTTTCACTAAACAACCAAATTATATCGCCTAGTATATTGTCTTCATCCTCGTCGTCATCTAGTTTTTGTTCTATGTCTTTAATTTCAAGCGTTAGTTCTTCGTCTTCCACTGGCATTACCCATGTTTCAACGCGTTCGACTACATTCATCATGGCAATTTCTCGAGCAAAGTCACTAGTGGCCATTTTTCTTTTTGGTTGTTTCAGGTCAGACATTTAATTGCAAGTGAACTCGAAGTTCAATTCAAAATCAGTTTACTCGAAAAATTCAAACATTTCCCAGACAACGGGTACCTACACAACGACGCGAGTATGGTCGTTGCGAAGTCGTTTTTTTTTAATCAACAATCGTTAAGATTTTCGGCTCGTTTATTTTTCCAAGACCATTATCAATGATATATACCCGACACCCGTAGTTATAATGTATTAAACTATAATATTTGAACAAGGATTTGTGTTTCGATTCGTACTATACACTGCAGACCTGCGTGCTTATTTTATACTTCCAGGTTAAGTCTTTTAGAATCTTAGTAAAACAATGGATGTATTGACTTACAATGACTTGTGTTTTTTTGTGTATGCGTAGGTACAAGTTTTATAGTAAAAAAATGATTCAATATTTAATTCTAAGGAACAAGGGTGATTTATGATACGAAATTGTATTTAGTTGGAGCCCATTGAGAGATCAATATTGAAATTTATTTTTACCTAGCAGCTGTCATCGTTTATCTATTATCTGCAGTCTATCAGCATCTAGTCTATCATTATTTATTTTATAAATACATATTTTATAAATAAAAATTGGGGGCTGTTCACGCATCGATAATGGAGTCATAAGGTCACATTAATAAACTATTATTACGCTTGACTTTTTGAATAGTTCACCAAAATGAAAATGTCGATAGCAACAATATAGAACAACAGTAATAATATAAAACTTATCCGTGTCGTGTTTCAGGTACCGGAGGCGTGATCTACGTGTACATAGCCGAGACGAGCCCGACAGACAGTCGGCCCTTTTTCCTGTTGATCTACACACTGTTCGTAGGATTGGGCCTTATGACATCTGCGATCTTGGGCGCGCTGTTCCACTGGCACACGGTAGCAGCCGTGTACGCCGTGATGTGCGCGATCGGTTTCATCGCTCCGTTCTTCGTGCCTTCCACTCCGATGTGGCTGCGGTCCCGGAAGCGGGAAGAGGAGGCCCGACTGGCCGAGAAGTGGTTCGGGTTCCAGCTGGACCGCACCGACGACCTACCAACGCTGCCACCGCCCCCTTGCGCGGCTGCGGCCATGGCCACCTTGACTCGGGCCGACTCGACGGTTGGTGCGATCATGGACACGAACGTGAGTTGCTGGGGCACGTACACCTCACCCACCGTCTGGAAGCCCACGCTCGCCTCACTCGCGTTCTTCTGCTGCCAACAAGCGTCCGGGTTCTACGTGCTGCTGTTCTACTCGGTGGACGTGATGCGTGACTGCCGCGTGTCCATCGACGGCATGACTGCCGCCGTGTACCTGTGCGCCGCCCGACTGGCCGGGACCATCGTCAGCCTCGTGTTTCAATCGGCGCGCAAGCGCACGCTAACTACCGTCTCGGGGCTGGGCATGTGCGTGTCCATGTCCACCGTTGTCGGTTACCTGTACGCTTTCAACGGCGTGTCCTCCCCGCCGGCCACCGACTTGCTGATCGTGCCGTTCATGTTCTACGTGTTCTTCGCCATGTTCGCCGTGCTGCCGTTACCATGGAGCGCGTGCGGTGAGATGTTCCCGATGGCCGTCAAGGGCACCATGAACGGCGTGATGTACTCGTGCGGTTACGAGCTCATGTTCGGCGCCATAAAGGTGTACCCGATGATGGTGGACATGTTTGGCATCCGGGCCGTATGGACAGCTTGCGCGTGCACGTGCTTCATCACCTCACTGTTCGGCGCGTTCGTCCTGCCCGAGACCACTGGCAAGACGCTAAACGAGATTACCGACGGGTTCAGGTCGTCCAGCGACAAGGCCCGCAAGAAGATAGTCAAGCCTCAAATACCTTAGACCCAACCCCTTTGCAGCTCCACAGCCGGTTTTTAAGTATTATTTAGTCATTGTCGTCGTCGTCGTAGTTGGTTAGTTATGTAGCCGGCATTTCTAACAATGATATAGAGTTCGAATTGCCTATATTACAAAACAGACTGTGCATGTATAAAAGACTTCACACACTGCAGCGATGGCGGTAAAATTGGGTTCGGACTCATTTTGCCGTAACCGCTACCGCCATGCCACCGCTGTAGTGCGTGGGGACCTTAAACTGTGAAGATTTAAAAATATATTTTTTACTTGAGTATGAGCACGACGAGTGACGACGTCGCGTCACCGTACACTATATTTTGATACCTAACACACGATTGTGTCATAAAAACAATAAATGCATCACTTCTGATTTAAAATATAATTATCATCGTATTCCACGTAATGACTATATTTCTTCCTCGATACCAGCCAGGTCAGTGTACATAATAACGCGTTGTAGTTGGGTACAATACTATATTGACCCATTTTTTACAATTTAATGTAATAATAAAAGTACTGTAAGTCTGTTTTATATCCATGTAAATAATATTTACAATATCGTATACTGTATATACTATATATTATGTATATATAAGTGTAATTAATTTTTGTAGTAAATAATATGATTGTGTAATTAATAAGACGCGTGCGTTGTGTTAGGATGCGACCTATAAATATCATTTTGTAAAGCAATTAATATTTTTTTATGTAAATTATAGCTTTTAACGAAATATAAAATAATATATTTATTCTGTAATATAATATATAATATTTATTATAAAATTATGTCTATGTACCTATATAGGTATACAATTTTAGAGGCGGTATACGTGGCGTACGTTCTTGCTACATATTGATTTTTGTATTTATATTAACGTATTATGTTGCATATAGATTTTCATGAAACTGACAAACGCTTAAGCTTATTTTTCATCAAGCCTTACAGGTTAAAAACACAGATGACGTTACAGATATCTTATACTGCAATAAACCAACATTACAATTTATAATTATAACATATAGATTAAAATTGATTTCTATAGGCGAATTTAAAGAAAAAATTGACCTATTATTTTAATACGAGTAAGGAAATGCGTGGAAGCTACGCTAATTGTACATTGTTAATTTCAATATTATATATTTATTTATATATCAGATTGCTCCAGTATATTAATTAAACATACATGTATTTGGTATGTATGTATAGATTATAGGTCAGGTACCTACAACCTACTACCTACGTTATTCAAGCCTACAACTTAATCAAACATATTATATAATGTATTAAAATGTTTCATAATAAAATATTGTTGACAGTTGTTACTGGGAGAATAAAAATTTAGAAACATTTTACTTTACAATATCACTATTCGATATTACATTTTGTGTAAATAATAAAATGTTTAAAAAAATAAACTATAGCGTGAGACTAAATAATTTTAAATTCATAATATCAGTATAAATCATACAAGCTTACTTCTTATATAGTTATATTATAGTCTCACGTTAATCAATATCGAATTATAATAAATTCGTATTTTAATAAAAATGAAGTTAATATATATACGATATACCTAATAAATTATAGAAAGATTAGTTTGTAGGATTTTGTTTAAAGGATTTAAGGATGGATGGATCTGCAGCTGCAGGGTATATTAATATAATCAATAACATATAATATACTGTTTGTCGGATTTTAATATAATATAATAATATTATGGTTGAACAGTGGTGAAAACGCTTTAATATAAATGACAGTCGCAATTTAAGTAAAATTGAAATTCCGTAGGTTTCTTTTGTTTTGCATACAATTTGTATATAAGCCATATCGGTTTACAGCCAGTGCACGGCCAGAGAATAATATCATATTATAGCATACCTACACAATTAATAATATTATAATCGTTAATAATTTAAAAAAATAAAAAACTGCAGCCCTGTGGCAGGTGTTACAGCGACGGCGGGTATTGTACGATATAATATGAAAAGAAATGTTTAGTCTTTGTTCGCATAACATTAATTTGACGTTTTTACAATCGATGTCGTTTAAAAACTTAAATCTTATGAAAAAAAAAATACAATAATAATAGTACACATACAAAAAAAGGAACTATTGGGCTGTTAAACACATTCACAAATACTTCAGATAATTATGTACATGTGCCTCAAAGTCTGATCGTGTGATGTTTGTTTGTTTTTCGTGTTAGGAAAAGGAGGTAAAAAACCAACGTTCGCAGAAATCACAGGACGTGTAATAATATTTCAATGATACACAAATCAAACTTTGCTTTGCACACATATCACAATCGAAATCCTTATATAGGCGCATATACAACAAATGCGTTTTAAAAAAAAAAATTACCTAATAATAATATAATAATATAATAATAATAATAATAATGATAATAATAAAAATAAATTATAGTTGGCACTGTGCGTGTATATATAATATATATATAAACGCCGGCGAGCGTACAACCGCGAACGTGAATGTTACAATGGATTTATTTTGTATTGTTTTTTTATAATTTGATCGATTGGATAGGGAAAAAAGGAATCTATATAGTTTTTGGGAAAAAGGATCTTTGTTGATGTCGCCGACCCGGTTGGTCCAGTGCAGCGCAGCAAACATGCTCGTAAAAAACACAAACATGTAATGTATATGTATACAATATGTAAGTATATACCTAATAATATATGATAATGTTGTTAATATACACGATGAAAAGGAATTAAACTGATTTTTTCGTTGTTCTCTCTCTCACACACACACACTCTCTGTCTCAAACTATGTAATAGTCGTAGTGATGATAATGATGGTGTTCGTGTATGTGATGATGGATCTTCTTGGACGCCAATTTGGCGCGTTTGTACCGCTGATGATCGATGTTTTTGGTTTGCTCTTGAGCGGCTGCGGCGGCGGACGCGGTGGTGGTTTTGGCCGCTGCCGCGTCCTTCGACTGTTGCAGTTTGCTACCGCTGACTACCGCGGTGGTCCGGTGGTGTTGGCGGGAGTGACCCGACGAATACTTGACCCCGTGGTGCTCCTCGGCCGTTACATCATTACTGTACAACTGGTGCTGCTGGCTTCTGACGTTTTTGAGGTGTTCGTGCTGTCGGTGCTGCTGCTGGAGCTGTTGCTGGAAATGGTGGTGGTGCGAAGGCACGTGCGCCACCGGTTCGAAGTCGTACGGGCTCCACGCTACCTTGGCCGGCAGGGCTCCGGTCTGGCGACGCTTCGTCCGTGGTCTGTGATAAACGACCTCCGCCGGCTTTTCGGATTTCCTGTAAACATAAAAAATAAATGGTTTTAAAAACGTTTTAATATTATAATGCCGAACACTCGTGGCGCGTTTATAAATAATAGTCCGATAAAATATTATTAAACTACCGACTTGCATATTTCTCCGAGTCGATTGTTTATTATAATATACAATATCTAGAGCCGATATACCTAGTGACCTAGTGTGCACACTGCACAGTGTTGAACGAAGTCGTAATTAAAATAGTGTACTTAATGATTTCACATTATTTCCATCTCGACTAAAATGTTAGTTTTGTTACGTCAAAAAACACTGTATTATACGCATGACACATTAAAAAAATACCACTAAGTAGGTACACTAAAATAACGCAAGTGTCTATCAGGCCTTATTTTGAGGGAAAAGGCGTATCGATAAAATATAATATGTTTAAAAAACAAACGTATTGATATTATAATATGGTGATATATTATATCAATAATAATATAATTAAATATTTCGGTAAACATGTAGTCTTCTTATTTTGAATACGTTTTCGGATCTAATTGTTAATACGTATATTATTATGTCGTTAAGTCCAACAACTTAAGTATACTTAATTATAGGTATATAACGTAGCTGGAGATATTATATAATATTATGAATTATGATGATATCGTTATCGGATGCACGTGATATTTTGTATGCATTACAATAATAATATTATGATCTATTACTCGGCTGCGGCGTTTCGTCGGACACAAATTCTCGCTGCAGTGCGAGAACGGTTCACGGCGATAGATATTTGTCGACTTCCGGCTCCTGAAGAAGCGGTGAAATTTATCATTTTAAATTTCAAAACCGTCTATTAATAATAATATTGTATTTACCCCCTCGGAACTCCGCGGGTGCATACGCGCACGGGCGTCATCTTTCGTCGTCACGTGTGCCGGATCGCTTTGGAGAGTGTCGGATTTGGACCGAGTCCAATGCACACACACATGGGCGCACACATATTGTGTGTACCGGCGAAACGTTTACAATACGTTATTAAAAAGATAGGTATATAATATTATTATAATCGTCCGGCGATCTATATAGAGGTATACACGCAGAATTCCTTTTTCGCGACCCGACGAACGGTTATTATGTATACAGCGTGCGTGCTGCACATAATATATACCGGTCGGCCTCGCTCGCGTAGTATAACTGTATACAACAATATATTATTATTATTGTACATGCGGCGTACATATATTATAAATTATAATAAACGGACGACGACGACGACGTTATGATTTTATTTACTAGCGCCGCCGCCGCGGGGTTTGCGCGCGTAATCTCTTCTGGCCCGTTCGCATAGTTTTGATTTATTTACAATAATTGAATAATATAATAATATTATGTACATCGGGCGATTACGTATTGTGAAAAATGCGTGCCGCCACTATAGTCGGGAAATATATATTAGTCAGACTGATCTACAATAACGTAATAAAATTCGTACGATAAATTAATACGAGAGTGCGATCAAATTTCCGAAAGTCTGTCGATAACGCATTTTAATACCTCGTAACCGCAACCGACAATCGTGAATCGAAATACGGTAATATAATAACATTATATTTATTTGTTATTATAATATTATAGTCGTTATAAAACTGTCGAATTTGTATTATTATTTATTATAAATTATAATATACGAATCAATCAGTTGCAAAAGATATTAAATATTACTATGGTTAAGTCCATTTTCACAAAATTGATATTTCGCCATAGTTTAAGCAATAATTGGTCATCTCTAAGAAAACTGTAAAAACACGTTTTGAAACGCTGACCCATAAGCATACAATATACATTCGATTTAATGTCCAGTGTAAGAGTGAGGTAAGTATGTAAATAATAGTTGCAAGTCATTGTTTACTTCAACTATGTTTTTATTTACTATGTTTGGTCGTAACTCGTTAGGTCCTAGATATTATTATTATCCACATTACCTATAACATTTCCATTTACATACAGCTATACATTTTGCAACTGGTTGACTCATATAATAAACGATCACATGACGTCACATACCTTTGATTTTGAAAACTCAAGTTTTCCGCCAGACTCCTCTGCACCATTTCGATCAGTTGTTCGCGCCTATACCGCTGTGCGCCCAGCTTGGCACTTTTGTGGTGCGGCAACCAGGACCCCTTAACACCATCGTAAACTGAAGGATAGCCCGACTGCTCCAACAGAGTCGCATCGTCGACAGCCCCGTATTCGGTGGTGTCTGTCCTGCCACGATGTCTGTCCGACTTGGTCTTGCGCTCGCGGCTGCTCTGGTGGCCACGGTACGGCGTACCCGTCGTCGTGCTGTCCACGACCACCGCCACCGATTGTCTGATGTTGAGCGTCACTTTGACAGTTCGCTGGCCCCGCGCCGAGAATTTCAACGTCGTACCGTACATGGACTCGAGTATTTTCGTAGCCAGTCCTTCGACATCCTGCGGTAGCACAATATATAAAAATCGTTATTAAATATATTATATAATATTATGGTAAAACGGAGACGAGCACGATATTAAAAAAAAAATTTAAGAAAACCAAAAATAATAATAATAATGGATTTGACGGTTTGCCAAGAGCGGAGGTTCAGACGTCCCCAATGGGATTTCGAGGAATTACATATTATATTTAATATATATTACTATTAACTGACAATGTGTCTGTGAAACAGTGAAATGTGTCTTAATTGGAAGATCAAAGGCGGACGAGCAAAAACAAAGAGATCCCGTTGTTGTCGCGCCTATATGAGAAGTTTCACAGACGGTTTGAGTGGACTACTTTGATTGCGTTGCCAAACATCAGAAGGAACGATTTGTTATTTTTAAATGCGTTCCATTTAAAAACTTTTAAGTCAGGGCGGTGGACTATATACCTACTATAAAGTGTTTATTATTTTTCGGGTATATAAAATACCATGTGCTAGATAATTTAGGTATACCTTATGTTGCGTTCAGAGTATAATATTATAATTTATAATACAATTGTTGTAAGTATATAAAAAAATATTTACGGACACATACGGTGACAATGCGACATAACGTGATTTTTAAGGAGGGTTTTATGACCAAAATACAAAAAAATCGTGTGTAAAATGTGTAACTATCAGATTAACCGAACAAATAATTTTAGGGTTGGTTTGAACCCGGAAAACCCTCATGCCACTCCCTGTAGAATACGTGATAACGTTGTGTACATATTAAAACATAATATATTAATAAATAGAAAGGGAGACTTACGTGTTTGGTGATTTTTCCATGACCGTCGGTGTCGGAGAAGGTGTACTGAAACTCGTGTTTGATGGGTATTCCGTCCAGCGATACGCAGCAATCGTATACCTGTTTTAGGAAGAAATCCGTTTAGATTTAAAAACTTTAAATATTCAAAGCATTACAATATTTAATACGAATGGACGGAATACTCACGTCGTTAGGTAGCTGTGGCGGCGACGGCGAAACTTGTGAAGTAGGTGGTGGCGGCGGCAACATCGGACGCTGGTGTGGGGGTGCGGCGGCGTTAATGAATTCATCGTCAGCAATTACCGAGGAGGTATAAGCGTAATTGATGGTCTTCGAACTGGCCGAATCAATTAACGTTTCCATGCTACCAGTTTTCGTGTCCAGGATACCTGCGAAACCGGGAAGTGGGGAAAAAATGTCAATTAAAATCCACTTAAAGACATTAACATAATTTACAAATTTACGTGCACGTATATATACGGTATGTATATTACATATATATAAAGAGTGGCGGTTTTTAATTAAAAATATTTAATAACTGGAATCTGGTATTACATCTCCGCCGCTACCATCACCAGCAGGATGCGGTGAAACACATCATCAAAAAAGCGGCGGCGGCGTGTATATACGCTTTTGTTTAGTTTTAATTTTTTTTCACCGTTTTTATTCTCTCCCACCCAGAGGAAATGCTACGCGGTTTAGGGTAAGAACCAGTTCTGTTCTATTCGACCCGTGTTTGCTGCAGCGCGAGTACAATATATATAAAACATACATCGAGTATTCGAGTGGCACGCGGGCGGGGATAGCAAGTCGGACGCGGACAATACGACTGTAATGAGTGCGGTGTACATAATATGACGTGCCTATTATTATATTATTTTATTCGCGGGACCGGAGAATTAGGTAGGTACCCACGCGATGAAAACGAAGCAGGACCTCGGAATACGATTAGAGATATAATATGTATAATTATTATAATATTAGTATAATATAATGTGCCCCAAATATATATGTCTTATTCCTTTCCCTAAATATTAATCTCGTTACACATGGTTGATGTACAGACGTACAGTGTAACGTCTATAATATTAATGTGACCAGTAGTGTATATAGGGGGGTAGGCATAGTGGGCTGCAGCCCCCCTGGAATTACAGTCTTTTTAAATAGAACAATAATATATTTTATTAGGTACTATTATAAGTTATAATATTTCATAGCCAGTTGAAAAATAACAAATACGAATATATTTATAGAAACTGTTAAATATGTAGTAGACAGTTGCCTCTAAGTAATAACTAATAGATCACTTGCTAGTTTCTATCTACTATAGCCCAACCCAAAAAATATTTCTATATACTAAACTGAATGTAAAATTATAGTATATTAATTTCGTCTTTACTAGTCTATCTTCACTAGTCTATTCAGTCATCGCGAAATCGTGTGCTCATATTATTATTATAACGTATATACTATTTAGGTATATGATTATGAATAATACAGGAGTGTATTATTGAGTAAGAAAAATTAATGCACACGGTCAAAACGAAAAGAGTGCTAGAAAGGGGTGCAGGTGGGATCGGTGCAGGGGTCTGCTGGGGAAGAAAAAAAATAGACAGATGGAGAGAGCGAGCTAGAGAGGTGAGAGCGCGGTTGCGACGACGACGACGATAATATTATAGAGGCGCACACACGCACGAAAGAACAACCACACGGCAACAACAACACACACACACACACACACACACAAACGCGCGCGGTCGAGGAAACGAAACCGGTTTGGTTGTCGGCGACGTAGACCGGAGGAGGCGAGAGCGGCGAACGTTTGATACGTACCGCCGAGCACATCCATCCATCCATCTTCTCTCCCGCAGCCGAAGCCGCCGCCGCGGCCGATTCAACTCGCATCTTACACACACACACACAAACTCCGTTTCTACCGAATAAAAAACATAACAGAACAATAGACGCACAAACTAGAATAATATTATATTATTATTATTATATGTCCGCATGTGTTATATACGGTGTGCCGTGCGCGCGCGAGTGTAATTTTTTTCTCCATCATTTTTGTGCTGACTCCGCTAGGTCACGACGACGAAGATTACGAAAATACGGTACGTAAAAAGATATTATAATACGCTACCACAGCAGTGCTTGCATGCGCAAGTGACACGCGTACGTCAAACGTAATATTATCATAATATGTGGTCGAGAAGAGGGGACGGGGTTTTAAGCGCGCGACCTTCGAGAGATATCTTTTCTTCTACTTAGCCAGGGGTGGGGGTGGAGGGAGAATAGACGAAAAAAATATATATCCATAATATTCGATCCCGATTATTATTATTACGATTTTTTTCGGAACCGGATTTCTATAATATGCTAATAACACGTTTTCATAGTATTGTTCTGTCCCGCGCGCGCGCGAACGGCGGCGTTAGGTACAATCATCTACGGGCAACGGACCGAATGTAAGTGTGAGTATGCGTGTGTGTGTGTGTCTGAGCGAGAGGGTGGGACGACCGTGTGAGAAGGAGAGAGAGACGAAACAACATGCGGCAACAACGTTTCAGAAGAGATCCTTGGTTGAGATATATAATCTTGGCCTTGACTCTTGGCTACAAAGAGTACCGACAAGGCGGAGCCGCCGACATAACATTAGTCGCCGGCCGGCTGGTCGGTAATATTCTTTTTTTTCTTTCCTTATATATACCATATATATATTTTTCCCCCTCGTATATATTCCAACGCACGCATAACACATGACACGTCATTATTTTATATTATATTATATACTTTTTTTTTTCTGGAGGATAAAAACCGCTCGGACTTATCGTGGTCGTCAATCCCCGGAGATTGTAAAACGCGGTCGCGCGTCCGCGTACTGTGGCCACGACCGAATAAGTAATAACTGAAAAAAAAGACCAACTCGTCTATGTACCTACATTATATCATACTATGTATTATATTATACGGATACACTCGTCGTCGTAGTCTTCGACAGGCTAGGAAATACTTATTGTTGCTTACTATGCTTTCACGAATTCCAGACGCGTACCTACCCATTACCCATACCTACACTAGGAAATCCGAAAAAGGAATCAAACAAATCTGTGGAGGGTGGGTGGTGGACGGAGCTGATGTTTTTCGCGCTCTTAACGTCATTATTATTTTTATTTTTTATACGATATATGCGTATAATGTATATTGGCCGACTGCGGTGTAAACACGGTAGCGATTAATTTTAGCGCTAGCCGACGACTAAACACGTGTTTTCAGCCGCCGCAGAGAATTGGCACCAAAACGACGCGCGGACCTCACGACACCGACGTCCTTGAACCCGTAACAAATAATAATAATAATATTATATCATAATATGTATATCCTAATGTAATTAAGTATTGAGTAATAATATAATATCACATCGTCGATAACGCCAAACACAAACATTAATGTTATTATCTCGTCCTAAATAATAATAATTACATTCTACGAGCTTGGTCAATACGTGGTCGTCCATATCGCAGAGGTAAAAAAGAAGGGGAAAAAAAGGACCCACGGAATGCGCGCCCCAAGAAGCAAGAATGCGGCGGACAACGAAAAGGGCCTGAAACGATTTCGGGAACTCGATCCCCGCGCCACCTCCCTGCCAACCAATTTGAGTGGTGGGTGCCGTGCACGCCGTCGACGCGACCGTCGGCACATCGTATCGGTTACAAACGAATGCGCGCGCACACACGCGCACATGAAATGACTGTAGGGCGGCGCGGAGAGATGATGATGACCGTTGTAACGTTGTTTATTGGGCCGGTTCTCGGAATGTCGGCAGATAAAAACCAAACAGTGCGCGCGAGGCCCGTCCGAGTTCCAAGAAGTACGGCCGACCGACCGACGATGACCGGCCGCGCAACCGCGTATATTACACAATACAAAAATACCGAATACGCACACGCATACATCGTCTATAGCCGACTATAGGGCCCGTTTCAGTTTACATTGTCCAAGTTCGAACGCGCCACTCCGATGAATGATATAAGCGCGCAAGAGTGAGACAGAAGACTATATTATCCTCTCGAAAGTCTCGTTATGGTGGACAACGTCTGCGTGCAGTAGATTTCCCACTTCGGCACAACCCTTTCGCCACGGTTTTCGTACCCGCATACACCGGACATGACAATGGGCAATGTATACTACTATACTATATGAGTAGGTATATCGTATATGAGTTTAATACAATATAGCACGGAGAAATTAAACACAAACACGAAAGCCGGACGGCGGCGGCAGACTTCCGGAGTGGCAACCGGGCGGAGGGGTAGGGGAGAGGGGGAGAGAGAGAGAGAGATTGAGTGAGACTGCAGAGAACGACGGATGAAGAGGGCAAATACACTATACATAATCTAAAACATGTAAACAAAAAGGCGTGGGTTGCCGTCGCACAAGGGGACCCGCCGATATACACGCGGCGCTGCACCACCCACAAACATTCCGTGTTTGTTCCTTCACCGAGTGTGTGTGTCGTGTGTGCGTGTGCGTCTTCGGTGTAAATCTATGCCGGGACCCGATTCACAATCACGGGAGACCCGGGGCGCGCGGCATCACAATGGTGCGAGCCAGCTGGATACTGCGGCAGCGGGAGCGATGGAAAACATTATATTATATTATTATTGTTGTTGTTGTTATGCGAAAGACGGTACAGGGGTGGTAGTGAGGGGTGACGTCGGCGGCAGAAAGAAAAAAAAATCCCATTTCCAAGGAAACACGCGAACCCCTCTGAATTCCTTTGCAGCAGAGATGAAAAAAACCGCAGGTCTAACGTGCCGTCTCTGCAGCTCTTCTCTCTTGTATTGTTGTATAATAATAATAATAATAATAATAATATAAAACGCTGCGTGTACGATACTATGCAAGTATGCAATGGATCGATCGCGCTGCAAGTTACACACGACGGAATCGAATTGATTCGTGATCGACGAAAACCATGTTATATGACTACAATACGACAAAGACCTCTGAGAGGAAGAGGAGGAGGAGACGCGGCTCCCCGCTGAGTGCTGGCGTTTTTTTCGTCATTAATTTTTTTGCATAACATTCGAAATCTGAGCGTTTTAAGGCGACGGTTGCATTTCTCGCGGCGGCGTCGGTGGCTTTTCGTCTCGTCCGTCACGCCGCACACGCATCGCGTCGAGTCTTCCGCCTCGGTAGTGGTTAGTGGTAGTGGTTCATCGACCCTCGACGGCAATTTGCCGCCGACCGTTGGCGGCGATTGCTTGTCACAACAATCGTGAGCGCCAAATATAACATACTCACACGCGTTCGCGTTGTATATAGTAATAATAATAATAATAATACACGAGACATAGGTTCTCGTGTTGTACAACCCGTGTATATACGATGACATATCGATATTTATGTATAGTATAAAATACCTATACTATATAATTAAACGACAAATTATGTTACATTATAGTTAAACGATATTGTACACGCCCGCTGCAGGTGAAACTTTAAGCGCGGCGCCTGACCATCTCCGGTTTTCGGCCCCGCGTTGTATACAACCGTACGCAGTACATTTTTTCGCCGCGGCGTCCCCCGTAACCCGTTATGTAATGAAGCTTTACTGCGTTGATGACGAGATAATAAACAGAGCCGGCGGCGGAAATAACCGTTAAACAAGTGTCGTAAAACGTGTGAGTACTTAACGAGTGCTGGGTAAGTGCCTATAACCTATACTCTATAATAGTATATATACCCAGTAAGAATATTTAGAACGTGCGTCGTATGGGTCGATGGAGATGAGAGACTATAATATTATTATTATACACCGCCATAAACCTACCGGAAATATCCCACACAATGTACGAAACACGACAACGGCAGTAAAAAAAAACACTAATAAATAAAAAAATGTTTACCTGTAGAATATTTTCGTATCCACTTAAGCCATTCCATTTTTTTGGCCAGTCCCATGAAGACGGTAACTGTTGCGCGAACCAAATAGAAAAATGTCTTAATAAAAAAGATTGATTAACGGCGACAGTAGAAAACCTCTCGTCATTGGTTCGAAACGAAAGTCACGAATAAAATAATAAACACTTTTCAAATGCAAAACGTTTGAAAATATTAATAACGAACGATAAAACCCGGCTAAAGAGAACGCATAGACGGCTCGCGACGAGGCGAACACACGCCTAACAACGCACACGTTATACTCGATCGAATGCTGACGGTCGACTGCCGTTGTAGTTGCGGCGGCAGTGGCGTCGGCACATCGGCAAGGCGACCGCCTATATAGTACGGCATGACACACACTCGCTCATCCTTGGGGCCTCGTCGGACCGTCGCCGTCGCCGCCGCCGTACGGAATGCCTGCCTGCCATCCCTCCCGCCCGTCCGCCATCCAGCCGGCAATACTGTGACGGCCGTTCCGGGGGCCCCGCGCGAGCGTTCTTTGAAACGATACCGCGCGCGCGCGCACATGTGTGCGTAGGTACATATTATATACCTAGTCTGTGTGCGTGTTATTTTCTCGGTCCATTATTACCCGGCACGTTTTATATATACATGTATACGTATATAAAGGTACCCATTCTTTTCTTCACTTTTACCATTATTATTTTTACGATTATTATACGTTACGCTCCTCGACACACACACACGCACACAAACACACTGTCCGGTATACCGCTGGGCATGACGTACGGCGGGCCGTGTGTGTGAGTCCGCGAGGTAGGTGTATATATTTTCTATGGGTGTACCTAGCTATACCGATGAAACGACGAGACGACGACCATGCGCTAGAGAGCGAGCGCGAGCGGTAATAATTAGGAGTCGGGAGGTGCGATTATAATAATAATATTATATCACAACAATATTATTATTATTATTGTTACTATTATGTAGAACGCGCGTTTTCGTTTGGTGGGTCTCTCTATACATATACATTGGCGAGCGAGATAATCGACTCAAAAGTTGATTTCACACCATATTATGATAGGTATATATGCGTAAAAAACCGGGCCCAAGAGAAGAAGTATTATAATATTATATAGGTACACATTGCAGCCGGTATAATCTGTTTATTACTATTATTATTCATATAAACCGCGAGTTCTGACGAGTTATTATTATTATGACCGGCAAAATAATCGCGTGTAAGAAATCGTAGTCGATCCGGTTTCTGCGGGATGCTGTATGTTAATAATATGTACATATAATATTAAATAGCTTAAATCGAGCATAGGTATATTAAATATATAGTACACAATAAATTAGGATTTAGGACTTGGGAGGGACTGTGGATTACAATAATATATTTCAGTATATTATAATACGTTATGTCCGGACTAAGATTATGATAATATTATATAGTATATTATAGGTAAATAGCATTTGCTAATAATTATAAAATACCCATAAAAATGACATTACATTTGTTTTATGCGTCAAGGATTTCAAATATAAAACGTACCTACATTGCATATTATACTTATTACTTTTAGTGCTATTTTGACAGTTTTGCTACTTTTTTTTTCTAATACGCGTAAATTTGATTTATTTTATGTTTTTCATAAATCTTGTAATTTTAATGAAAATAGTAACATAATAAAAAGTAGATGCCCACCTATGTGAATACTGAATGCATAAAAAAAATTCCAAATTTCATAGCTTTTAATCGACGCAATTCATTCAAGTTAAATTCAGTATTTTACAATGATGTTTTTTTAGATAACAATTTGTTGAAGGATCTAGTGATTATACAATAGTGTTTATTTTTTTTTTTATCCTGTATACAAAATTTTTACCAGAAGGAATGCTTCGATATCGTATCTTATCTTTTAGCAAATTGGATCAATATGGTACTTTAAAGAAGTCATTTTTCGATATCCTCAATTGTTATTTAATGCCACGGGAAAAACCACCAAAAAATTACAAAAAACCGCTAAAAATCGGATTTTAATTTCTAACCCTTTGTTTATCAGTTATTACCATAGAAACGAATAAAAATAACGATTTTTTTGTAATTTATAATTTTAATTCAACTTACAGGCTATAATAAAATATAATAACAGTATAAAATATCTAGACTAACCACCTGTCTCTGCTCAGAAACGTTGTTCTTATACAATGATATAATATCATAGAATTAAAATGTAATACAATCCATTATACAGAGGGACATCCACTTACCCACTTTTTTCACTATTTTTATTTTTATTTTAATTTTAGATTCTGAGTGGAGCGATGAATGTATTGATTTTACAATGATGTGTGTTTTTTTATTTATATTTTTTATTTGTGTCTGTGAACACGATATATTTATTAGGTACTGACTTATAAAAAGTCGAAATAAAGATTGGATCCAACTTCAGTATCTTGTTCGATAGGAAAATGAATCTAGTGGATGTATTGGGGAGGTCAAAATTCTCTATAGGTAGTTTTCAAAAGCTTTATTTTTATTTGTTTTTAGTCCAAGCAGTTTTTTTTTGTGCGTGTACACGATAAGTAGTTGAAATAATGCATGGATTTTCAACTTCAGTATCTTTTTCGATGGGAAAGTGAATCTAGTTGGGGCATTGAATAGGTCAAAATCCCATATTACCATTAGTGTTCAAAAGCGCAGAGAAAAACAAAAAAAAATTAAGTTAAACAGAGAATTTTTACGCAAAATCGGATTTTGACGTTTTTTATTTTTGGTGTAACTCTAAAATAAATTACCGTAGATACATGAAATTTTCACTGGTTGTTTCAGAATTTTCTATACACAATAAAATTTTGGATTTGTTTGAACTGTTTACGGACAGTTTTCAGTTTCTAAGTTTCTTAGTTTTTTTTCTACGAATGTCAATAAAATTTGATGGGTAAAAAAACTTGAAAATGTAATACAAGGCTCTTAATGAATCGTTACAATGACAAAGTAATAGTTTTAATTGTATACAAGTAATTTTATCCATTTGCGTAGCATATTTTTTATTAATTTATATAATTATTAATACTTTTATAAGTACTAAGTGAAAGTGAAGTTTGATTTTATAATGTGTGTTTTTTTTGTAAGTGTAAACGATTTCTAGAAGAAATAATGATTTGATATTCAACTTCAATATCTTATTTTCTGGTATGGGATAATCTAGTCGGTACCAACTACCTATGGGAGGTTAAAATTAAATATTCTAAATAATCAGGAGAAAAAATATTAAGGTAAACGGCATTTTTACACTATAATACCTAGGCTTTGGCAAAATTGGTTTTCTTCGAAAACTAGGAAATTTATAAATTATTCTGTACCTAGTTAAAAATACATCAGATTTTTGGTTTTAGGAATTTTTAGTTAAAAGTAGTTTTATGAAAATATGTGAATTTATTCAATTTAATATGTGTTATAAATTATAATGAAAATACTTATTCTAATAACACATATGTATAGACGTATAGTCATTAGCGAACATAATATTATATACTCGTATAGTCGAATGTATATTATTTATTATGATTTATGAATGAAATTTGTGCAATGTATATTATATAGCCATATAGGAATAGATAGGTACTTCATAAATGTATATATTATTTAATTTTTTTATAAGATCATTACATTTAATATAATACATTATTATGTAACTATGTAATAGCTAAATAAATAACAATGTTTCCTGCATTTTTTGAATCCCCTTAATAAATAATTTAACGAATGATCTGTGATGCTCGTTGAAATATAACAATTTACTAAGTTCGGAGTTCTTATACCTATAATATTTAAATAAATTACTTATTTTCAACAAGTTTTATTACTTACGAGTATCTATGAATGATTGATATTCCTAGAATTTGTTGCTTAATGAATCCCAATTAAACTTTTAATGTTTTTTATTTGCCTTCTTTACACACAATGTTATCATATAATTATATTTTAGGCGTAATAACATTAAATTTAATCTCGTAATAACTAATATAATTATAATAGTACCTTGGTTGAATGGCATAATTTAAAAATTAAATACAATCAGTTCATCTTTAAAACATTTAAAAATAAATTAAACATCTATAAGAAATTCTCTGATAATTATTTATTGTAATGTCTGAAGCAATATTTTATGTGTTTTATTATGCACCGTTTAGATCAAAATCTCAGAAGCAGAGATTTTTTTTGTGTGTGTCATCACCTTTTGATAAAAAATACTTTATATTTCAACTTTGAGAGTGGTTTCCGGTATAGCTAATTGGGTTGAGTTAATACTTAAGACTTTAAAGGGTAAAATTTAAAAGCAAATTTTTACGCAAACGCAGTTTTTGGCAACATTTTTAAACTTATCACTTAAGGTTTGAATATTTAATATAAGGTTCCTCATAAGTATTGAGTTATTCTTTCAGAAATCTAAACATTTCATGTTAAAATGTTGATAAATTTGAATATTTGTAATTTATAATATATTATATTAGCTAAAATTAGTCCCTTGTAATTTTCACCACAACTTATATTATATTATTTACTATAAACCTACTGCATAATGATATTTTCCCAAATATTTATTGACTTTGACTATAAATATAAAAATGCAAATTTTAATAGCAGTAGCCAGTAATATAAAATATTTTACAAGAAGTGTTTTTGAAAGCTCCATGCCATGTTTTTAAATTTCAAAAATTGTTTACAAATTAACCCTTACAGCGGTAGAACCACAACTTACTATATTACGTGATTATTAAATTAGCAAGTTTCCTCGTTACATTTCACTAATAATTTAAATTCCACAATAAAAAGAGTTATTTTGTAAATAGACGAAAAAAATTAAAAAGCCACTAAAAGTGGTATAGGGTTGTTTGAGAATACGTCTATCAACAATTATTCAGTTTACATTAAAAGTATAACTTTGGTTTTCTCAGTCATTCTAACTAAAATTAAGAAGATTCTACAGGAAATGAATGTTAATTTATTAATTGTATTGTTTATACATACTTTAATTTGTATATAG